TTCGGAGTTCGGAACCCGACTGACCCTGGACCCGACTTACCCCGGATGATTCGGGCGTCCAGAGCCCCGAATCTTCAGGGGTAGCTCGGGTCAGGGCTAACTCGGGGTCGTTTTTCGGAATTCGGAACCCGACTTACCCCGGTCCCGACTTACCCCGGATGATTCGGGCGTCCAGAGCCGCGAATCATCAGGGGTAACTCGGGTCAGGGCTAACTCGGGTTCGTTTTTCGGAATTCCGAACCCGACTTACCCCGGACCCGACTGACCCCAGATGATTCGGGCGTCCAGAGCCCCGAAGCATCAGGGGTAGCTCGGTGAAGGCTAACTCGGGGTCGTTTTTCGGAGTTCGGAACCCGACTTACCCCGGACCCGATTTACCCCGGATGATTCGGGCGTCCAGAGCCCCGAATCATCAGGGGTAGCTCGGGTCAGGGCTAACTCGGGTTCGTTTTTCGGGATTCGGAACCCGAGTTACCCCGGACCCGACTTACCCTGGATAACTCGGGCGCCTAAGATACAACGGGATCCCAGGAAGTCCCGGCCCTTCCCCCAGTGCGGCCTGTTCATCCTGACCTGGCACCACTTGCGAACCCTACCCCCACCCCCCACGATTTCTCAGGGGGAGGGTGGGGTTCACTCCGTTCGGGAGCTCCCGAACGAAGTAAGCCCCACCCTCCCCCTCAAAAATCGTGGGGGTGGGGGTAGGGTTCGCAGGTGGCCCCCTACCTGAGCAGTTATCTGACGGTCCAGAGCCGTGCGAGGGCTCCCTGAGGCCGAAAAGGCATCCGTCTTGTCGTTGTTGTTGTCCAAAACGTTGGAGGTATGGGCTCAGTGCCCCACACGGCAGCACGATGGCTGCCCTCGGGCAGAGTAGAGGTCGAGGCGCTCGAGCGTCTATCGCCCGAGGGCCCTGCTTTCTCCTATTACCAGTATTGTCGTTTGGATCTGTGTTGGCTGCGCACAATGTTCTGGACATGTTCCGGACAACAAGTTGTTTGAAACAATTTTCGGGGGCGGCAAAGAGGGGAGTGATGACTAGGGGGGGGTGGTTATCATGGCATGGGCCATGATATTTCCCGAGATTTCATGGCGCCTCTTCTTATTCTTTACGTCCCTGGCTCCCCCGCTGGGCCGCGCACATGCCGCCGGTCATGATTTGCACCCCCCCCTCTTGGACACCCCCCTCTCGACCGCTCCCGAAATTTGTTCCGGACAGTTGTTCAGGACGATCTGTTCCGGACAATCTGTTCTGGACAATATTCGTAGGAGCTGCCGTCCTCGAGCGCCCTCGGCCCGGAGCCCCCACGTGAGCTTGCAGCGGCCCGGGAGCGTGCGATGCGGGGCCCGCCGGCTCCGCGTCGCCACCGCCTGCCAGTCCCCACGTCCAAGTTTTGGACGTGGGGGCTGGGCGGCGGCGGTCGGGTGGGGGGAAGGGGTGGGGGGCGGGGTCAGGCGCTTGCTCGCAGCAGGCCGCAGTCGTGCATCATGTTTCGCTGCATTCTAGGCGCGCGCAGTTCATCTCAGGCCCCCCCCCTTCTACAGGGCGAGCCCCCGCGACGTAGCGCTATCTGCGGCATCACCAGCCATCGTCTGCTGCGCACGTCTCAGCCTGCCCACGCAGGTCTTCGCAGCAAAGCCCCAGCCTCATACGAGCCACCGCCATGGGCCAGGAAAGCTGGCGCAGCAGCGTGATGCTGATGGGGGGCTGGCGGGTGAGATCGACTACTGGAGAGGGGAGCCGGGGTGTGTGGAGGGGCGGTTTGGCTACCTGCTGCTGCATTTCAGCATGCTCGCAGCATCCCAGTATTATGTTATGCATGCCTATTCGAGTCATCGAGCTCACGCAGTGCATATCAGGCCCCCCGTTCAGGATGTGGCCCCCCCGCATTCGACTGCATACTTCTATCAACTTCAGTCAGTCTGCAGTCCTGTTGTCGTGGACAGCCAGTACTCTGCGCCAGTTCCATTATTCAGATGGACCGATTGTATACCAAGTTGCTCAGACAATATCAGTTCAGCCAGCACCATGCACCGGTTTCTCTCCCACGACAGTCCGTAATATGTTTGCAAGCCTCGCATGTTATCTATAGTCTGTCTTTGTTCTGCCCAGCTAGAGCCAAGCAGCGCCGACCCAACTACATGTACCGGGTATGGGGGGATGGGATACGGCATGGGTCGGGTGTGTCGTGGTGAATGCGGTATGTGTCTGGCCAATGTGGCTTTCGGCGGAGGAGGTTCTGCCCCGTTGTTGTTCGCCTGGGCTTTTCTATCTCGCTTGGATATCGCGTTATTTCACAGGCCGGCGCACAGAGTGCCCGCCTCTGACTACATGTGTAGATTCAGGCTCTCTTTGTAAGGGCGGGGCAAGAGCCACAAGGACGGCCGTAGTGACGGGGGCACTCCCCCTATGAATTGGAACGGTGAAGGCCCCCCCCCCTGGAACAGGAAAGGCAACGGTCAGCAGCCCGAGGACTGCTACTTGCAATTTCGCCACAGGGCCAAACAGCACAGTCTATACCAGCCTTGACACATACTTTGCTCAATGTCTGTGCGGTCTCTCCTTGAGACGCCTGTCTCTCCTTCAGACGCCACATACTTTGCTCAATGTCTGTGCGGTCTCTCCTTGGGACGCCTGTCCTTGCTCAATGTCTGTGCGGTCTCTCAATGTCAATGTCTCTCTCCCTCTCTCTCTCTCTTGCCCCAACTCCTTGAGACGCCTGTCGTTTACCGTGTGTTTGCTTTGCACGCAACTTTTACCATGGCGCGGCTTGCCTGGACAGACTTGGGGGTTGTTTTTTATTTATAAGAAAAACTATGCTTGAGGTACGGAGGGGGGGAACCAAGGTTCTACCAGGCTTACCTGATGTCTGCGGCCTGGCGGGCGCGTGCTGTACGATTTTCGAGCCCTGCACTCCTTTCGCGCCTGTTTGCCCACCCTTCTCTTGCTGCGCTCGCCAGGCGCAATTTGTTTCGTTCTTCGCCTAAGTCGGCACTGCTTGTTGTTGCAGTGCAGCGCTACAGAGCGTGCGCTCAGAAAGGAGGATCATGATGATGATGATGAGGAGGAGGAGGAGGAGGATGAGGAGGAGGAGGAGGGAGAGGCGCAGAATCACCACCCACCAAACCACCCCAACCCAACCCGAAGGCTTCCATTTGCCCTCCATTTCCAGTGGTGGGGGGGGGTCGGGGAACACTGAAGAAACACATCAGGATCCCGTGCCCCCCCCCCCCCCCCAAACCCGAAATGCGGGCCTTCGGGTTGGGTTGGGGTGGTCTGGCACGTAGTCAAAGAGGGAGGGAGAGGCGGAGGAAACGGAGGCCGAGGAAGGACGCGCGTGCTCCACCGACCCTCGAAGTCCCAGGACTTGGCGCCGTCTCGGGACCGCCCTGCGGGAGCGGCCGCCGAGCTCACCGCGTGGGTGGGGGGGGGGGGCAGCGACGGCCCCTCCTGCCCCCCCCCCCCCGCATCGCCACCCCACGCCTCGGCCCAGAATTTTGCTCTTTCCTCGGGGAGGAGGAGGAGGAAGAGGAGGAGGAGGAGGAGGAGGAGGAGGAGGAGGAGGAGGAGGAGGAGGAGGAGGAGGAGGAGGAGGAGGAGCGCGGGCGTGGGCTAACGGATCGTGGCGCGCCTCAGCGACGCGCCAGGAGGAGGGAGGAAGGAGGAGGAGGAGGAGGAGGAGGGAGGAGGAGGAGGAGGAGGCCCCCCCATGCCGCTGCTCTCCTCCTCCGCGCTCGTGCTTCTGCCCCCTGCTGCTCCCCCGCGCCGGCACCCCCACGTCTCGACCCCTCCAGCCCGGTGCCCCCTGCCCTCGAGGGGAACCCCCCCCCCCCCCTATCCCCCCCCTCCCTCGTCCCTTGAAAGGGCTCTGCTGTCCTCAGGCGTCATCTTCACTGATTTCCGACTCTGGGTCGACCTCCAGAGCCCCGGCCACGGCCGTGAGATAGGCCGCGAGTTCGTCCCGGGAGGCGGGGAGCAGCCAGAGCGGGCCCCACTGGGGCCGCGGTGCCACGCCGAGGACGACCCTCAGGAGGTAGTCGGCCGTCTCAGCCAACCGCAACTCCCAAGATGAGATTATCGTGGCCAGGCTGCGGCCACCGCGCCTGGTGCGGCCACCCCGGGCCACCATGCAAGGATGGAGGGGGGTGGTTTTCCTCCAACGCGCACTTGAGCCAAATCGGCCAAGATGAAAAAAGGTTGGGGCCAATCCGCATGCAGGCGTAATGTCGCACCGCATTTGGATTGGCCCCCTCCCAGGTTCATGCAGGCGTAGGGTCGCACCGCATTCCCCTGAGAGGTGCAAGCACGAGCATGCTCTTCCTGCTGCTGGTGACGTCTACCCGGCCTACGCCTAAAACCGGCGTGCCGGCCCATCCGCTATCGCTGTTTGGTTTTGCCGGTGTCCCCGGGTCCCCAGGCCACCGAGCCCTGTGGCAATCTAAACGGTCGCCGGCCGAGGGCCGAGCGAAGGGCCAAAATATCGAACGTACAACCCATGCAACCTGCATTCACCGCCCGCCCTCCCAGGCAACCAGGTTATGTACACAGCTTTGACGGTGACTTTTTTGAGGCCGCCGGAGGCCGTCAAAGGTCACCGGCCAGAAGTCCCCAGCCAACACGCGGCCAGGGGAAACAAACGCAACGTGTCCTCACCCGAAGCTGGCTCGACGCAAGCTGTGGGAACCCCAACCCAGGGCACAGGCAACGACACTTGGACCAGATTTCCCGGCCCCTGAATGCGAATTCGGGCACGCACGCTGCTGATGATGCCCGTGCTACGCTCCCTGACCCACGCTCCTCCTCTTCGGCAGGGCCCAGCAGCCGGCCCGAAGCTTCGCGAGTTCATCGACTCGCTGGGGCATGGGAGCGCTGGCATCGAAAAAAAACGGAAAGAATCAAAAGGCAATCTCAGAGTCGACGCCGCTGCGCAGCAGAGGCCCCCGTTGTCACTGATGGAGGGCGTACTCGGCGAACGACGCAACAACGATGCCTGCGGCAATATTTACAACGCCCGGAGGCCGAAGTGGTCCCTGATCCGGGCCATGGCGGGCACCGAGAAGACCTTCGTGAGGCCATCTGCCCGCTGCTCGTTCGACCCGACGTGGTCGAGCAAGAGGGTCTCGCTCTCCATCTTGCTGCGGAGGGCCGACGCCCTGTTGGAGAGTGCACGCGTCCTCCACTTGCCTTGGCCCCGGGCCAAGCACAGCGACGCAACGTTGTCGCCCCACATCCTGGGGAGCGGCACCTGCACCATCATGCTCGCGAGGCTCGCCTCCGCGCCCTCCAGCATGACCAAGCCCATCGCCAGGGCCGTAATCTCAGCCTCCGCCGTAGATCTCGCCACCTGTGCCTGTTTGACGGAACGCCAGTCGATGAGGCACTCCCCCAGGTACACTGCGACGCCGGTCTGGGAGTACTCAGTTTCGAAGCTGGCGTCGGCGAAGGCGTGCAGCTCGAGCCCGTTCCCGTCGCCGCGCACCGCCTGGAAGAACAGCCCATGGCGGCGCGTGCCCAGGAGGTACCGCATGATGCGCTTGCCAAGGCGCAGCGCCCACTGAGGTGCTGTAGTCGCATGCGCTGACATCCGGCTGACAGCGAAGGCGATGTCAGGGCGGGTGCGGCCCGACAGCCACGGCAGCCCGCCGCCCAGCTTCTGGGCGAGGCGCACGTCGCAGAGCTCGGGCTCGTCCAGCTCCTCCCCCAGCGGCTCGATGGAGATGGTGCCGCACGAGTTGGCATTCGTCATCTGCCACCCGGCCAGGATATCCTCCAGGTAGGCGGCCTGATGGGCCACGAACGCCCCGTCGGCCCTCGCCCCCACCTCAAGCCCAAGGTATCGGATCGTGCCAGGGTGCGCACGGGCGATGAGCGATTGGACCGAGCACGTCCGGTCCATGTCGCCGTCATCACCGCCTCCACTGCCATAATCGTCTCGGGCGCGCCGGCGAGCAAGAAGTCGTCCACGTAGACCAGCACCAGGCCCAGCGACTTCTGCTCGCTCTCGGTCTTCGTCGGCACGTCCTCCACGATGTTCCAGACGCAGGCGTCGCAGCGAGATTGGACCAACCTGCACTGCGCGCCGTTGACCTCGAACCTCATCGCCCGCATCTGCCTGTCCCGCTTCAAGCCCCAGGCCCTGGGGGCGATGCGGAGGCCGTAGATGCCCTTCTTGGCCCTCCAGACCTCGTCGCGCCCAACGAGCCCATACGAGGAGAGGATCCCCGGCGGGCGCGCCAATACCTCCCCAGCCTCCTCCGGGAGAGGCGCATTCAGAAAGGCCGTGGACACGTCCAACGCCTTGAGCGCCCAGCCGCAGGAGCTCGCGATGGCGAGAGCGGCTCTGACGCTGAGGATATCCACGTTGCTCGTGAAGACGACCTCACCCGGCACCTGCTTCTGGAAGTTGCCGCAAACAACCCCGCGGAACTTCTTGCGCCTCCGCTGCGCCGGATCCGAATCATCTGGCGCCTTGATGCCAGCAGCCCCTTTCATAGGGAGCACGTCTTTGGTTCGTACCTGCATCTTCTCATTCTCGGTGAGGGCTTCGAAGACCTCCTTCTCTGCGAGGAGGCGAGCTCGGCCTCCATGGCCAGCTTCCACTCGTCACGCTCGGTGCCGATAGCATTCCGCAGCTCGGTCATCGAGACTGGCTGCATGCCACTGTCCTTGATGATCTCGACGAAATCCGGCGCGCCGTCCAAGTCGGAGTCGGCGGCGGCAGCAGCGGCAGCTGAGTCAGACGATGCAGCAAAGGGCCCGGGGGGATCCAGGCGAGAAATGCGCGACCTCCGCCGCCGCCCCTCCTCCTGCTCCTCCTGGCGCCTGCTTGCTACGAAGCCGCAGCCTCCGATGGTCATGAGGCCGGTCGGTCGACGGGCCCTGGCGGCACCTGTGGTCGTACGTGTGCCCACGATGTGCTCCCAGGCAGGCAGGGCACGTGATCTCCCTCGGCGCCTCGTCCAGGATGCGGAGGTGGTTCAGGTCCTCAGACTCCTCCTGGTTGCCCTGCTCCTTCTCCTCCTCCTCCTGGATGTTATGCTGTTCCTCGTGGCTGTCCTGCTGCTCCTGGTCGCGCTCCTCCTCCTCCTGGTCGCCCTGCTCGTTGACCTCCTGCCGGGCTCCCCCTCCAGGCGCGACGTCGACGACGAAGCTCGACGAGGTCTCGAACTCCCACCTCTCGAGGCCGTTCTGGGCAACCTTGTGGCCAACCAGGGACGCCCCGGACACAAAGTCGCAGATGCCGAAAAACCGCCGGGGCACAGCCCGTGGCGCGAACGCAAACTGCGGCACCTGCTTGATCCTGCAGGTGACGGGCTGCCCAAAAATCGGACACCCAATCGGCTTCCCTTGAGCCTCGCGCCGTTGGAGAGCTGCTGCGTGCACGACCGAAGCCGGCCACAGCTGCTCGCGGTCTGCCGCGTCCATCGTCATGAGCATGGCTCTGCCCCTCTGCTTGATGATGCCGATGCCCCTCTCCGCACGGGGGTTGTTATCGGCCTCGTGCCCTGGAGTCGATGTGACTACGATCCCCTGGGTGGCGAGCGCTGCGCTCACCTTCGGGCCCGAGAGCTCCCGCGCCTGGTCAGCGTGGACGCGGTAGACCACGCGCGCCTGGAACTCGAGCTCCACCTGCGCGATCATCAGGCGCAGGCCGCAAGCACCTCCACCGTGTGCTTGCCAGCGAGGGGAATGACGTAGTACCACGTCTGCACGCCCTCCTCCTCGACGGTTCCGTCCGCCGGCACTGCGGCCACCGCTGGCAGCGCCGAAGCCCGCGTGGCCATCGCCACGGCGTCGTCTGCAGCCAGCGGCTGCCCGGCCGCCGCAGCGGCAGCCTGCCTCCCCTGATCTGCGGGCCTCTCACCCGCGCCCGCGGCTGCAAGCGGCGGCACCCCCGCAGCATCGCGCGCGTGCTGCTCGGCCCCAGCGGCGGCAGCCCGTTCAGAAGCAGTCATAACCGCGTAGGCGCCGAGGACGAAGTACCGCGCCCTCTTGGGACGGTCCTCCGGCAGTGCTCCTGGCCAGAGCCCTGCAGGATGGGGGCCAGATATGTCCACGGACAGCTGGCCTCCCTGCCGCGTCCGCGCATCCAGCCGCCAGTGCGCCCTCATGCGACCTGCCGCCAGGCGGCATTCGTAGCAATCGGGGCGGAAGGAAGGGTGTCCGCGCCTCTTATGCTCCTCCAAGCTGAGGCGCTGCACAGCGGCCACGACGACGTCGAAGTGCGCCGCCAGCATCCTAGCGCCGGCTCGCGCGCGCAGCTGCTGCCTCATCGCGCGGAGGCGCTGGGCGTCGTCCTCGTAGATGTACGCCGTGGCACCCTCGAGCTCCAGCTCGATCGCATCCTGGCCTGGCAGCAGCACGCGGGCTCGATCCCGACCCCACTGAAGATCGAGGCTGAGTTCGGCGACGTACGCGCCGATCGGGAACAGGGCCTGCAACTCCGTGGGGGAGTGGACATACACCACCTCGTCCGTCCCCATCAGCACGCCAGCTTGCTGACCGGTCGCGTGCGCGAGGTCGACGCGCTGGCAAGGCACGGGCGGACGCTGGTTAGGCCACAGGTGCTGCAACTCATGCGTGGCCCCGGTGTCGGCCAGCAGCCGGCGACGGCCTGAGCCTCCAGGGAGCGCGCAAGCCGCGCGCAGATCCACCTGGAGCGTTCGAAAGGCAGGCTGCTGCTGCTGCGGGGGAGGGGCCGCAGCCTGAGCTGAGGCTGCACTCGAACCCGGGGTCCCCGATGGCTGGCCCCAGCCATCCTGCCAGGCAGGGCCGGCAGCAGCGGCGGCGGCCGAAATCGGGAAGAGGCTTGCCGCCACGGCATCCCTGACCACCTGCTGCAGCGCCTCGGCGGTCATTGCAGCCGCGGGCGCAACTGCGGCAGCCAATGCTGCCGACGCACCTCCAGCGGCAGCGGCTGCTGGGGGCTTCGGCCGCGGGCACGCTGCCTTATCATGGTCCTCGGCCCCGCAGTTGAAGCACTTGCCCTCGCTCACCTCGAGCTTCCTGTGGTGGCGAGTGCAAGTCGCGCCGAACTTGCAGCCGGCCTTGCTGTCGAAGGACCGGCACGTTTCCTTGCCTCCTGTCGCCGCCTTGGCAGCGGGTTTAGCCTTCGCCTTCGCCTTGGCGCGGGCGTCGGGATTGCCGCCCTTGGCGTCGGGCTTGCCCTGCTTGCCCCCGCCCTTGGCCTCCTTCGCCTCCCACGTCGCTGCCAACGCCTTCACGCCCTTCCCCGGGGGCGCGTCGCAGAGCTCACGAGCCTCGGCGGCGAGGTACCGCCAGAACTCCTCCACCTGCTGCTGCGAACACTGGCTGGCGCCCGAGATGCCGTGCTGCATCTCCCACGCGAACATCCTGTACTGGAAATTCGCGTCGGCCTCGGCCATGCCTTTGACGATGCCTCGCAACGTCGCCAGCTGCGTGACCGGATCCGGCGCAGCCATGCCAAGACGCTGCAATCGAGTGAGCGAGAACTTCCAAGAGTTCAGCTCCTGGTAGCAAAGCGCCAGGGCGGCGGCCTTGTTATCGCGCCGCTCCACCTCCCTCAGCACTAGCTTCCGGTCGCGAAGGGTGCCGGGACCGGCCTCCACCATGATGCCGAAGAGGAGCTCGGTCACCGAAGTCTGTCGGGTGGCCAGCGCGCCGCTCTGCACCTGCTCGGGAACCGAGTCCAACAGCTCAATGCTGAGGCTCTGGCGGTCGGCTCCGAACCACTCGGTGTTCGGCTTCACGAGCGGGCGCTCGAGCGGGCCCCGGCTGAGGTAGTACTCATGCGCCTCCCTCGCCGCGCGCTCCGACCGCTGCCAGAACAAATCGATGGAGGGATGCCACGCCCCGATCCTCATGGCAGCTCGCTGCACCCACTCCTCGAAGGCGTGCGCCTTGTTCACACCGGCGACGAACACCAGCTTCGGCACGTCGCCGTCTTTCAGTTTCGCCAACACCGTCTCCAAGCCAAACGCGGCTCCTCGGTGCTGCTCGTCGGCCCCTGCCGATGCCGAGCCGGCAGGCGGAGGCGGCGGGGGCGGGGGCGGGCCGCCTGCTGCAGGCATCCATCCGCCACGCCCTGGATCACCGCCAAAACCACCTGCACCTCCGGGAGGTCCTCCGAAACCTCCTCCATCGCCACCACCTCCGTGTCCTCCTGGCGGTCCGCCTGGAGGCCCGCCTGGCCATACATTGGGCCCCCGGCCGATCGGAGGCAGCCCAGGCGGCAGTCCGCCAGGCGGCAGCGGCGGCTGAGGCATGCCATGAGCGCCAGCTGCCGCCTCAAAGCCGGGCACCTGAACTCCGCCAGGTGCGACTGCTGCTTGGTCCGCGGCCGACGCTGCCACCGCCTGGTCGGCGTCGGACGCGGGCTCCCCGAGACCAGCGATGGGCGGAGCCACCTCCTCGGCCTCGCCGTACTCGCTGCTCGTCGCCTCGGCGCGCGGCGCACGAGGCATCGATGGTGGTGGAGCGCCCTCCGGCGCCACTCGCCCACCAGCAGAGGGCTGTGCATTGGCCTCTGCTCCGCCGCTCGCCTGCGAGGGCGGCGTGCCTGGGTCCAGACGATCCCCACGCACTAGGGTCCGATACCCTGGCGTTGATGCCCCACCTTGGGCTGCGGCTGCTGCTGCCGATGCGCGGTCGGCGAGCCGCTCTGCCTCCAACTGCTCGTTCCTGCGGCTGAGGCGCTGCACCTCCATGCGCAGCTCTCGCAGCTCCGCCAGCTGCAAATCCATCGCGCTGGATGGCGGGCGCTGCAGGTCCTGGCCGGCGTCGGGCGCGTCCGCCCTGCCAGCCCTCTCAGCAGCTGCTGCGGACGGCTGGTCGGGAAGCTGCGGCTGAGCAGGCAGAGGCATCATCGTGCCTGCCGCCCACGTCTGGCGCGCTCCCGCGGCAGCGCCCACAGCCAGGCGCTGCATCCCCGTCGCTGCGGTGCCGAGGGTGGCACCCACAGCCTGGCCAGCCATCTGCGCACCAAATGCCACACTGCGGCCAACCTGCCCTGCGAGGCCGCTGGACCAGGCGGCCTGCCGACGACCGTATGCGACGTCGCGGTCCGCGAAGCAGGCGAAGCAGACTGCATGCCCCTGCCAAGGCTGCATGCAGTGGCTGTGGACGTCGGTGAGGCAGATGTCGCACACCACCGACGGGCCCACGATGACGTCCGAGCACGCCCTGCACCGCGCGCGCATAAGCGCAGCGGGCGGCGCCAGCGGCGCTGCCGGGAAGCCATGGCCAAGCGGAGCTCCAAACGCAGGGTGGTAGAATCCCTCGCTTGGGCTCATAACCCTTGAAAGGGCTCTGCTGTCCTCAGGCGTCATCTTCACTGATTTCCGACTCTGGGTCGACCTCCAGAGCCCCGGCCACGGCCCTGAGATAGGCCGCGAGTTCGTCCCGGGAGGCGGGGAGCAGCCAGAGCGGGCCCCACTGGGGCCGCGGTGCCACGCCGAGGACGACCCTCAGGAGGTAGTCGGCCGTCTCAGCCAACCGCAACTCCCAAGATGAGATTATCGTGGCCAGGCTGCGGCCACCGCGCCTGGTGCGGCCACCCCGGGCCACCATGCAAGGATGGAGGGGGGGTGGTTTTCCTCCAACGCGCACTTGAGCCAAATCGGCCAAGATGGAAAAAGGTTGGGGCCAATCCGCATGCAGGCGTAATGTCGCACCGCATTTGGATTGGCCCCCTCCCAGGTTCATGCAGGCGTAGGGTCGCACCGCATTCCCCTGAGAGGTGCAAGCACGAGCATGCTCTTCCTGTTGCTGGTGACGTCTACCCGGCCTACGCCTAAAACCGGCGTGCCGGCCCATCCGCTATCGCTGTCTGGTTTTGCCGGTGTCCCGGGGTCCCCGGGCCACCGAGCCCTGTGGCAATCTAAACGGTCGCCGGCCGAGGGCCGAGCGAGGGGCCAAAAAATCGAACGTACAATCCATGCAACCTGCATTCACTGCCCGCCCTCCCGGGCAACCAGGTTATGTACACAGCTTTGACGGTGACCTTTCTGAGGCCGCCGGAGGCCGTCAAAGGTCACTGGCCAGAAGTCCCCAGCCAACACGCGGCCAGGGGAAACAAACGCAACGTGTTATCACCCGAAGCTGGCTCGACGCAAGCTGTGGGAACCCCAACCCGGGGCACAGGCAACAACACTTGGACCAAATTTCCCGGCCCCTGTTTTGAATGCGAATTCGGGCACGCACGCTGCTGATGATGCTCGTGCTACGCTCCCTGACCCACGCGTCCCCCCCCCCCCCCCTCTCTTGCCTAAAACGACGCGAAGATCGGGACAAAATCGGATCGGGATAACTCGAAATCTCTGAGAATCGGCGGGTTTGGAGGATGTATACAGGGCACCGCGGCCGCTCCAGAGCGTTCCGGAACGCTCTGAGAGCGCTCCGGAACGCTCTGGAGCGATTTATCCCGATGCCAGCCCTGTTTTATTGCCGCTCTCCTCCTCCGTTATCGGCCGCGTTCTCTCCCGTCCTGCCCTGCCCGAAGACCCCTGTCTCAGAGCCGTCGAGGGAGGCTGCAAAAGGGGCTGGGGCCAGTCCCTCCGCTCTTCTTACAGCCATGGCCAGTTCCCTATGATGAAACCTGCCGGGCCCTGGTAACCGCACACCGTCCAGTTCGGACTCGTTCCAGCTTCGGCAAATTATTTTATCCAGCCAGCGAGAAGCTTCTTCCTTACGGAACGCGTGTGTTCCAGCTGCTCTGTATTATATATATATATATATGTATATATTTATAAATAAATAAATAAATACACATGTACATATACACATATACATTTATATACACACACACACATATATATATATATATATATATATATATATATATATATGTATATACATATCCATATCCCTGGGGGCGAGGCCGGGGGCCCCAGGACAGGTGCCTCCACCCCCCATGGGGGCACCGGGGCTCATTTTCCGTGTGTTTTTTTCAGGGTTTCCGCGTCCTGGGCCTCGGAGGCCGCCGCCTCCGACCCCCCATGGGCCAGGAGGGCCTCCAGAGGCCCCCAAGACGGCCCAAGCGGGCCCCGAGTCGCCGAAAGACCGCTCCAGGACGCCCAAGATAGGCCCAAGACGGCCCGAGAGGCCCCCCAAGGCTTTCCACGACGCTTCAAGACGCCTCTCCAGAGCGCTTCCAGAGGCCGAAATCGTCAATTTTACGAAGGTTCTCGACCGATTTTGGCCTTCCAGCCTGTTCGGCTGTCCGACGTTCCAAGATGGCTCAATAGGCCCCCAAGAGCGCCCCAGGACGGCCCAAGAGGGCCCCAAGACGGCCCCAGAGTCGCCCAAGACAGCCCAACAGAGCCCCAAGACGGCCCCAAGATGCGCCCAGGAGGGGGACCACGACTCCAAAATTCTACCCTCCAGCTTGAAGAGAGCCCCAGGAGGCCCCAAGGAGCCCCCAAGAGGCCCCAGGATGCCCCCAACAGGCACCCAGGAGGCCCAAACGACGCCTACAGAGGCCACAAAACAGCCCCGAGGAGGCCTCACAACGGTCCCAAAACGGCTACCGAGAAGCTGCGAAACTGCCTTCACGACGTCCCCGACAGGCCAACCACGAGATCCAAAGCAACACCCATGAGGCCTCTGACCCACCACCCAGGGCACGGTGGCGGCAGCAGTGACAGCACTTGTGCACAGCATGTTCCGGCGGGAGCCTTCCGGAACACGCTGCAGGAGGAGGAGGAAGATCAGGAGGAGAGAGAGCTGGAGTGGGAGGAGGAGGAGGGGGACGAGGAGGAGGAAGAGGCCTCCCAGACAGCTCCAAGATAGCCGAAGAGGCTTCCAAGAGGGCCCTGGGCGGCCCACGAGGGCCCCAAGGCGGTGCCTGAGGCGCCCAAGACGGCCCGAGAGGGCCCCAAGACGGCCCCAAGAGAGGCCCAAGAAGGGAAACACGAACCGAGAATCCGAGCTTTCTACCCCGAGAGGGTCTCGGGAAGTCCCAAGAGGCCCCCAATCGGATCCAAGAGGCCCCCAAGAAGCTCCCAAGAGGGCCGACGAGGTTCCAAGAGATCTCCCAAGGTGGCCCCAAGAGGCACAACACATTGTTTTACGATTGGGCTTTGACGTTTTTGTTTCTGCCTTTTAGCATCCAGATGCTCCAAGACGGCCCCAAAGGCTTCCAATACCGCTCCCACAGAGGAAGAGGGCCCCAAGACGGCCCGCGAGGGCCCTAAGACGGTGCTTGAGACGCCCAAGACGGCCCGAGAGGGCCCCAAGAGCCCCAAGAGAGGCCCAAGAAGGGGAACGCGACCCAACAGCAGAGCGGTCCCCCCACAAGGCCCACAGGAGGCCGCAAGAGGCCCCCAAGTGGTCCGACGCGGACCCCAAAAGCTTCCCCGAGGGCCTAAAAGGCCACCAGGAGACGTCCAAGAGGCTTTCAAATAGCCCAAGAGTGCCCTCGATGCGTCAAAACTGCTTCCAGGAGGCACCTGGGAGGCTTCCGGATTGCCTCAATCTGGCCGCAGGTGGCCTCAAGTCGGGCCTCCACGCAGCCAAGACGGCCAATGACGGCTTCAGATTGCAGAACCGATGCCCCCAAGGGACTTTAAACGGAGAGGGTTAAAGGCGAGATGTAAATCGAGCATGCACCGCTGCCGTGCCTGGCTCAAGCCGGGCCCGGCCGAACATGTGATTGTGCCTCACCGAGGCGCACTACTCGCATCTGAGATCGGAAAAGACCTTTCTATTGAAGATGCCCCTTCTATCCTTTACTCCAGATCCCATGCTTCATCTTGCTCTCTTGCTCATGCGGTATGAGCCAAAGCCTGGGATATGGGAGCGCCTAAGGCGGAACATATATCTTGGCTTACCAGTGCGTTTTCGACTTGGTAGCGGAGCTGGCTACACTCTCGTGTGGCTGGCTCTCGCTCTAATACCCATCATCCACGGCACAACTTGGTGGACTACTACTACGGTGGAATACCATGTTGCGCCGGCTCTGCGAGGAGCGGAGCCAGTCCGCGATCGGGCTAGCGGGGCTACCCGCGAGCTCGAGACGCTCTCTCCTACCTCACTGCGCTACTTCACTCCCGACTTCCACCAGATGCCAATCGGCAACTCGATCGAGAACGTGGTCACTCTGCGGGGCTACCCGCAGCGGGGCCACCTGCATCCCGTGCCGGTCAGGCGCCTTACGGCTACTACGCCCGAGCCTGACAAACCACAGCCTAAACCAATCACCGAAGCCGAGATGCACATGCACTGGATCAAGATAACTATCTTCGGCATTCTATGGGTGATAATGGGATGTGCTGTGGGCTACATGCGGCAGGGGATGGACGACACGCGTACTACCGGCCCTTCTTGGGACCCAGCCGGTACTACGCCCTTTCGCGAGTACGTTCGCGAAGTACATGCATGGATAAACGTGACGAGCGGCAATATGACGCCACCTCAGCAAGCTGCAGCACTACAACGTGGTCTTCAAGGCCTTGCTCGTCGTATCGCCATGCAGGTCCCCTCCCAGATCATCAATTATGGTGTAAATGTCAACGGACAGCCAACGGATGCAGTTACTTATATACTTTATCTATTGAGTACCAAATTTGAAAATCTGGAAGATGAGCGCCAGCTCAACTCTGGCACTGCCCTTATCGACTTTCGCGTCGAAAGGGGCGAGCGAATCGACTCAGTGTTAGCTCGATTCGAGATGGCCCGTGACGAGGCTAACTCTGTTGGATTTGTCATCCCCAACTTTCAGATCCTAACGCTGATCCTTTTCAGAGCGTTAGGCGTTGGCGCGTCACGAGCCCAACACCTGCTGGAGCCCTTCAATCATCAGATGCCCAGAACGCAAGCAGACTATGATAGGCTGCTGACCAGGATGAGGAACTACGGGCATGTTGCCGAGCGCTCTCCTGGCAACATTGCGGGCATCTTCACAGGGCACCACGCACATGCAGGTGTCTACGCCACGACTGCGGGGTCACCCGCTGGTCCTGGCGAGCCAAGTCCCTGGGCTGATTCAGCCGATATGCCCAACGAGGCCACTGCCCTCTTAGGGCAGACCGGCCAGGCATCGGCAGAGGCAGCGGAGGCGAACGCCTGGTCGAACTACACGCCGGGCGCCGCCTACACTGCAAGCCCGCCCTCGGGCACAACCCTCTGGGGCCAAGCGGAGTCATCCGCTCAAGGGTCTCAGCCACCCTCTCCGTTTGAATCTGGCACTGACACAGATACCTCATCTGACGGTGATCACAATGGCAT